CATGACTAAGCCAGCGTTGCCACTGAATTTTTATGCGCTTAACTATGTCAATGTCGCGATATAGCTCATACAGCTCATCGTTCCATCTAATTCGATACTCGTCGCCAATTTGTTGGCAAGAGTGATTCTTCGTTGAATATCTAGGCTGACGTCATTTTTTGGTGTTTTAGCTGGTTCCCAAATAAACAAAGTCTTTCACAACTTCGAACTTATAATTGTCAACAATGACGTTGTAATTATTACGGTCTACAAAAAGCCTTGTTCTATGTAACAAGGCTGTCCAGATTGGATATGAACGCGGGCGAATATAAATCACTAAATAACTTAAATATTTCATTTATTTGATTAAATCGTATGTTCCATAATACATTCAAGATTTCAGGTAAGACTTATTTAGGCTAGTAAGGTCTTATTATTAGAATAAACAAAAATTCAAAATTTTTTTTATATATTTTTTGTATTGATATCTTAATAATGAGACCAGACTAACGTTAATAAATAATACCTAAATCTTTATTTAAGATTTTTATTCCATCGTATAAAAATAGATATTCTCTTACGCAACATTGTAATTGTGAATGGTACAAGTTATAAACTTAGTGTTCATGTCATTTAAGAAACGAATGTCAAAAAGTAAATTTTTCTCCGTAACATAGTAAAAACTAAGTTTGGAGCAGTTTAACAAAAATTTTTGTCCTAATGGTAAAATATAAAGCTAGAATGATGTCGGAATATCGACAAATGCTGGAGGATCCACCACCAAATACTAGTATTAAACTAGTTAATAATAGTTTAACACATTGGGAAGTAACAATTATTGGACCACAGGACACTGTTTATGCAGGCGGAGAATTTAAATTGGATATACAGTTTCCTTGGAATTATCCATTTAGAACCCCAAGAATACGTTTCAAGACTAAAATTTATCACTGTAATGTGGATGAAAATGGCATATTCTGCAAAAATGAGTTTGAAAGAAATTGGTTTGCTCGTCAGCACATATATTGCATACTTGTTACAATGAACTCAATGTTGGTTAAATGCGATCCCACAGATGCTTACAACGCTGATATAGCTGCACAATATATGCAGAAAAGGGAAGAAATCGATAAAATTGCACTGGATTGGACTAGACGCTATGCCGATGCTTTCAGAATTGATTCGTAAATCGCTAACTATCAGATAAAGAATGCAGCAATTTTTTCAATATCAAATTAGATTTGATATTGAAATAAATAATAAAATGATAAACTAAGAAGAATAAGAATTGAGTTTCAGTTTTTATCTTGTATAAAATACTTTAGTACATCATAAAAGATCAACTATGGTCGCACTGCTCCGATCCATTAGGAGCTGGTACCCTGTTTATTTCTATTTCTAAGTATTTAGTAAATTTAGTTATAAAAATAATTGTAATATAATATATCTGAATATGTTAACATTTTTACAGGTTCCATAAGATTTTTATTTTTGGTGGCAAATTGCAAGTGAGCATAGCTACATTTCCTTTTAAATTCAGGCACGAGTTATTCAGGCAAGAGTTATTTCTCCATGACTTTCTGGATAATGTGGGCCTAAACATTACTATTGGATTAGATATATAGTATATAATGCGTTTAATTACATGCAAGAAATGTTTTCACTTTGTTTATATGGTATGTCTAACATTAAGAAAAAATGTAATAAGAATATGTAATATGTAATACATATTCATGTCAAAATTAATATGATTTTAATATGATGTTGTATTATATATAATATAAGGTGGATATATTGTCTACCTAGTATAGTTTGTTGTTTTCCTAGAAGTACGGATTTTGTTCTCAGAACAAATCCTTTTTCTTCATATTTTTTTTCTGCTTTCATTTTTGTTTTTCAACTTCTAATTGCTGAGTCCAGGATAAGGCTAGGTTTTTGGAACTTTCATGTTCCATTCCATCTTCCTGTTCACATCAGCGTTTATATGCATCTAATTTAGAGTTGCTTCATTTATGCAGCTGGTAGTTGCAACTCTGATGTCTTATGATGACCCTACCCTGAAGAATCACAATTCTTTCATGTGACTTCTAATAACATATTGTAAGTAATATTTTTTCACATTGGATAAATTTTACAAAAGGAGTTGTTTGCGCTGTTGCACTGGTAAAAGTTTTAGTTAGGTACACCTCATGTAATTGAAATTAGGCGTCCAGTATTTGACGGCAATTTTTATATATACAATTTCATAGCCGCAAAGTATTTAATTTACTGCAAAGTCGTTAAAACAACTGAAACTGAACCGAATGGAATATGGATAAAGAAAAAAGAGTGAAGAAAAGAAAATATAGAATTAATAAGCTAAAACAAAGCAAAACAGACAATGACTGTAACGGCACATTACGTCTGCATTCCGCCGTGTTTGTGCAGCCATGCGTTTTTGCCGCTACCGCCTTGTGAATGCAATTTCACAAACGGGCGGTACGTCGAGCCATCATACAATGTGAACTCAAGTAATTTGCAGTGGGTGAAGAAGTAGATGAGTGTCATCGTTCAACAGTGGACCGGGCGTGCTGTCTGGAATGCCCAAATGCAATTCGCAAGTAATTCAAATCCCGCAAACAATCAACAGACCGTGTAGACAGTTTAATTTCATTATTATCTTCTCAGACAGAAAGCACAACGAGATGCCTCGCTTCTTTGTTTTAGGTTGGCGCTGGTCGGTGTTGCTTTAGATGGACTGGAGCAGTAATTCCGGCATCAATGAATGAATGAATGAAACATTTTGCACGAATATCTGTGTGAATGAATGTATGTATATATATGTGTGTGTGTGTGTTTGCAGTTCTAATGAATTTCGTTGCGGACATTGATTCACAGACAGACATAACGGCTTGCTAAGCAATTGCATTAACGTGCCCTCATTTCTGGCGACTTTAATACTCGCATCTTTCCAAATAGATTTTACGTAAGGCGAATTATACGCATTACGTACGCGTTCTTAATAAGGCAAGAAAAAAATGTATAAAATAATGAAAGAAACAAACATGTGCATGAAGTGAGTCAATTTGTAAATTTCTTGCCTGTGCTTCTTCCTTTGTGAGTCTTTGTTTTTATCTGCCCGTTGGCTCAATGCTTTATTAAAACATTATGAACACAACGGAAATGCCAATGTCCGCCTACTGTTGCACTTAGTTAACCACGCTTTCGCATCTGCATTCCCAATTCCCTCTGGTCAGAATGTGACATTCTTTTCTGCAGTTTTCTTTTTAATGGGTTTTTTATGCTTTACCAGGTTTTTCTATCTAAATACTTCCAATTCCCATTCCAATTCCTTGGTGTCATGCGGCTGACGTGGAGCGCATTATTGTGTAATTTTTTCGCAATATGTGTTCAGTATTTTGGATTCGCAACAATGTGACGCAAAGTTGCAACGTTTATTCTGAGTGTGAGTCAATGGGCGACAAATCGCATTACAATGTGCCTAATGCATGAAGTCAACTATTTGGTATTCTGCGTTACATGTCACAACAATACCTTAGTTGACCTATATTGGTGTCACCTCTTCGCGTTTATACTCCCTTGACTTCAGTAAATGACATATTGAGCATTGTTCACACAAATCGGAATTTATATTAAAAGTATTACTATTCGCATTCTTTCTGCTTTCGATTTAGTACTTTTTTATGGGTTTTTTTATATCTATTTTCAGCTCTAATGTAATGTCAGTTGCATATAAAGTAAGAACGATGCTATACGAATCGCCAGTTTGAGTTCTAGTAATTTCTTTTCTTAAATTTGAATTTTTCTTGATAATTTTGATTGAATTGCGAAGTAATTTCTCATTTAATTCTGTCAGGCTTATATAAGATAATGTGAGTTTGTAAAAATTTTGTTATACATTTCATACAATTCTGTATAATAAATTTGAATTACAAATATTAGAATTTTAAATATCGATTTTTTAATAACTAATGACCAGGAGCAATGAGTCATCAATGTCTGACGCAAGCAATCCTCAAGAATTTAGTGTAATGCAATCTACTAAAATCTACACCAGATCTGATTCATGCGTAACAAATTTGCTATCAATTTCAATATCCACAACTATGCACGAATTTATAAGCTGGAATATATATTTAATATACATGTAGTATATAAGTATACTTATATATGGTATATAAAGTATATAAGTATCAATAATTAGGTTTAGTAATGATATTGAAGTTAAATGTTTATCCATGTTGTGGCTCTGAAAGTGAACTTAAACAAAACAGACTTTTAATTAATAATTTTCAAGATTTTATTAAAATTTCAATAAAATTGTAATATTACTCAGTTTTTTTTGGGTTTTAGAAATATTGAGTAAAAAACTTAATTGCTTAATTACTATCAACTACTGCTTTAAATAAAAATTAAGAAAATCAACTTAATTAATTTCACATTACCTTTTAATTTTATTTCAATATTTCGATTTCAACCTACATCGTCTTCAGGAAAATTATCTCCTAAACTTAGGCTAATGGACCAATTAACCAAACAACACAAAATTAATTAAATATTAATTAATATTAATATTAACTATTATATTAGTTGTATTAATTAATTAATATAATATTAATTAAATATTAAAAAAAATAAATATTATGCAAATAAATACCAAAAGTAACAAAATTATTTTTTTAATTAAAATTTGATTTAATGTTAAATTAATTATTATTACATATTATTATTAATACATAATTATTAATTATATATATTACATTCAAAAAAAAAGTAAAAAATTAAATCAATAAACTATAAAAACAATGAAATAATCACATTTTTATTTCTATATATTGTCTGTACATTGTCATTAAGTGTGGAGTAGAACAGGATTTACATGTTCTCATCGATACATCTAACAATCTCAGATGGTTTACGGTTATTACTAATGACATGGACATACTTATTTCGACTATACTCGATAGATTTTCATTTTCAAAACTTCCAGAGTATGCAGTTTGTCAATTCAAATAGCTTCCATTGCGTAATTCTACAAAACAATGCCCAGTGTAAACAAATCGCATAATTCTGTCCACACATTTACACCTCTAAAACATGAAATTATATGTCTAGGGAATTTTTCACTCATAAAGTTAAAATAAGACATATTTTGGAGCTTAATTTGGATTTAATAATTCTTTGAAGTAGTATATAAATTTCAAAATTTTTTTGACAGCAAAGCTATGTTACACCCACGAGTTTTAAAATGGTACAAATGCTTTTAAGAACGTTAAGTAGACTTTGAAAGTGAAATAAGATCTTTAAACGTGCATATTGACACGCACATCAATGATAAAAAATGTGGATGGTTCAGGTGAACTTTTTTTATGAATATTTTAGACATGAAATAACAGTTGTAAAATTTGTTGAATACACTACGCTATACTAAACTCTGTTTTTTTCAATTTTTCATCTGTATAAGGTTAATTTAGGGCTACTGGACTACAAATCTGCGACCGTATTTTATTCCAGACACCTGATTCTCTACTAATAACGTGTTGAAGTTCAAAAATTGAGGCTTTTAATTGTTAATCTTTATTTTTAGAGATATTACAGTAAACCTATTGTGAATAATTAGGTACACATTTTTACCACTGGACATCGTTTTTCAATTTATAACCTTCACCAGTCAAAAAAAAAATAATTTATACTAATTATAATTTAATATATTTTTTATAACAATCGCTTGGTTTTCCAAAAAAAAAACATTTTTCAGAGGGAAGATAGGAAATAAGAGGAAGAATATTAAAGGCAAAAGTTTTTATTTATTTATTTGATATAATTTTACTGAATTTCTCATCTTTTAAAAAAAATTTTTTTATTAACTATTCTAAAAAATCAATTTTTGAACTTTAACCCGCCATTGGCAGTGACCCAAATATCTTGGGTTAGAAATTTCAAACTCAACAGATTCAAGTCAACTTCAAAATATTGAAATAAAAAAAGAAACTTATTTTGTCATACAGTGGTATTAAGTAGTTTTTATTGATACACAACATTACTGTAATACTGTGATACTCTTTGGCTGTTCTTCTGGTCTTCGAATGAACAACGCCAGTCTGTGGTATCACAAGACCATCACTACAACCATACTTAACCTAATACCGTAAGCAGCCTACATAAAATGTATAATCCTATATAATATAGGTATATTATATCTTCAAGGCATTTGAAAAATCGTTTATTTGTAACAATGTTTATCAACATTTTAATTTTTTTTTAAATAGTCTGGAGTATTGTAAATACACGTTGT